ACCAAAATCAACTTGAGAACCATCATTGTAGACCACACCAATCTGTTTGCCGTCCCATGAGGGGGTACCGATGTGGATCCACAATTGAGAAATCGTAGTTCACACCACCACCCAGGGAGTACCGTCCCATGGCTTGCCGCTACTGGTTGGGTTTTACTGATATGACCATTTATATTAGGAGAATCATCCATAAGTTTCCAAATGCAAATTTCTAAATGTTCATAGATTTTCCATATCTATGTCAGCTTACCAGTAAACCCAGAACTTATCTGGATATGTTTATATGTTTAGTAACGAATTAGTCTAGTAACTTTACGGTATGAGTTTTCTATATACATACTTATGGTTTCCCTGGATATCCTGCCACAATTGTGGCAACCATGGATCTGGGTCAATTCGGAGAATTCACCTTAAAAATACTTAAACCGAAAAAAAAATCGGCCAGGTTTTGGGATAGTTACTCCTACTAACCATGGATACCCCCAAAATTCAAAGGTCTAAACATGTCCCCTTCATCGGCGCCCTTCGCGCCGCGCCTGCGACGACTGCGACGAAAACTTCGACGACGGCGGCGACATTTGTTGGGCACGGGCGGCCTGCCGGGGAACGAAAGGAACGAAACGGGGGCCTTCAGAGGGAACCATTGCTTTTCCATGGGTTTTCCATGGGTTTTTCCATGGGTTTTCTTAAATTTTATCCTAATTTGCTTGGGGGAAGGCGCTGGCTGATATATCGGATGTCCATTTTAGATGGTTAAGTGTTTTTTTAGGCATGCCTAGTTCCGCAAATACGGGATGGTGGCTTGACCAAGTTATGGACCACTGACGATTCCGATTTTTTGGATACCCACTCCATGTGATTCTTGGTTTCAACATGTTTCAACCCGTACCTGAAAAAGATATAACCAAATCGTCAGCTGGGACAAGTTCCATCCCACCAACCCAGAATAGATGGACTCGTTGTGACTGGCAAAAACCCATCACATGGATTTTCTCCGTGGTTCAATCTGATCTGGTGCTTTGTATATGGTTCCATCCACAAAATCGAAGAGGAAAAATTACTTTACTTCGTGTGATCCCAACCATGACATTTGTACATTTTGTTACTGGCATATCTTCTGGCATTCTATCTGACATATCTTCTGGCATTTTATCTGGCATTCTATCTGGCATAGTTTCTGGCATTCTACCTCGCATATCTTCTGGCAGATGTTCTGGCATATCTTCTGGCATTTTATCTGGCATTCTATCTGACACATCTTCTGGCATTCTATCTGGCATAGCTTCTGGCATTCTACCTGGCATATCTTCTGGAAGATGTTCTGGCATATCTTCTGGCATTTTATCTGGCATTCTATCTGGCATATCTTCTGGCATATGTTCTGGCAAATCTTCTGGCATTCCATCTGGCATTCTATCTGGCATATCTTCTGGCATATTATCTGGCAAATCTTCTGGCATTCTATCTGGCAAACATTCTGGCGCTTTATCTGGCATATCTTCTGGCATTCTATCTGACATTTTATCTGGCATTCTATCTGGCATACCTTCTGGCATTCTATCTGGCATATCTTCTAACATTTTATCTGGCATATCTTCTGGCATTCTATCTGGCATATCTCATGGCATTTTATCTGGCATATCTTCTGGCATTCTATCTGGCCGTTAAGGTCCAGCGGTGCACACTGAGCTGGGCAGGTCCCAGGTTGAGGTCCAGCGGTGCACACTGAGCTGGGCAGGTCCCAGGTTGAGGTCCAGCGGTGCACACTGAGCTGGGTTGAGGTCCAGCGGTGCCCACTGACCTGGGAAGGTCCCAGGTTGAGGTCCAGCGGTGCCCACTGAGCTGGGAAGGTCCCAGGTTGAGGTCCAGCAGTGCACACTGGAGAAACTGGAGGAGGAGGCGGAGGAGGCGGAGGAGGAGGAGGGGGAGGCGGAGGAGGAGGAGGAGGAGGCGGAGGAGGAGGAGGAGGACGAGGAGGAGGACAACAGCTCTGATAAAATCTAACAACCCTCACCTGGCAGGTGGAAAAAAAACATCCTGGCGATCGAATATGTAAATTTCAATCATCTCCCCACTTTTTGTGAGTTTGATTGAAATATGCATGTGATAGAATATAATATTATATAATATTATATATATGTGTAATATAATGTGTATATATATATATATATTCTACTTCAGAATGATTAAAGGTTGAAACCGAATGGTAAGTTTCTCGTATCATCTTCCAGGTCCTCTTTGAAAATCATGGACCCTGTCGGATGACATGTCAACGTCAACTCGTGACCTCAGTGAAACGCGGGTTAAGCACAAACATAACCACTTAGATAACCTCAGATTCATATATAGCTTCATAAATCTGTATATAGATATCTATGGATATATGGATATATCATGATATATCTGGTTGGTGGTTGACCTACCCTCTGAAAAATGATGGAGTGAAAGTCAGTCGGGATGATGATTCCCAATATATGGAAAAATAAAAAACGTTCCAAAACACCAATATGTTCTGCACATCCCCCCCTTTTTTGTGATAATTCCCAGTTCTATCAGCCAGGGTCAACTGTAGGAACCTGTTGAAGGATAGCAGAGCACAAGCAGCACAAGTTGCGGCACGCGGGCACGAGAAAGCTGCGGAAAAGATACGAATATTTTTTTCCAATACCAATCTCTATCAGCTGGAAGCAAGAACATGAAAACCTCAGTTTCCCACCTCAAACTGGCGACGAATTGGGCTTTTTTAAATCCCCATGTGAGGACAGAACCATAGAGTGTTGGCTGTTTTTCATATCTATCCCATATCTATCCCATATCTATCCCATATCCATATCCCATTATGGTTGCATACAATTGATTCCCATTTCCTAACGATGAAAAAACATCAAACCCCCATCAAATTGATGCTCAAATACCAATAAAACATTCCCTCCTATGAATGCCAAGCTGTACCCAGCGAGTTAGAGGGATGTTATCTATTTGTCTATTATATCCTGATTATAACTATCGATATATATATATGTAGATTAATATACATATGTATATATATATCAATTAGATATATCTTGAGTTGCCTTGTACAACTTGGTCAAATATCCCTCATGAGATGGAGTTCGATGTGGCCAAATTACAATCACAATTTGGGTTGGCTTCATCGAGAGTGAGGTCAGCCAGTTTCATTTAAACGTATGCATATAATATATATATATATAGTTTTAATATATGATATATGCAGCACTCTTTTCCTGAGCCGCAAAAACCAGCGATCTTCGCACAGAGTTGTTAAGACATTTCGCCCTGGCAACCAGTCGATCGCACTTTCGTGTCTCCGTTTTCTCTGCCATTGGGGGATACTAAGGTTTGTCGGCACAGCTGCGTACCTAACATGTCCTAACATCATGAGCAAGAAAATTTGGGACGTGAAGGAATTGAGCAAGAAAATGCTGTCTTTCAATGGTTTGAAGGGAAAATCTTCACCAGAAACCATGGCGCAGAACTGTGAAGAGGACTTAGTGACTACATCCCTTTATCCTTACATTGGTGGATCCATCCCAAAACACATAAGTGGTGTCAATGGAGGGTCAGCCTTGGATGGTATATCATACGGTATATCTACATACAATTACATAGACTTTCATGCTTAAAAAACAGATACGCATCTTTAAAACCACCATCTTTTTGGGCAGATTTAAGTAGCACTAGTGGCACTTCGACTGGCGCTTCCACATCGGTGAACAAATGAGACTTGCCGTTGCGGAGCCGGTCGGTTTGTTTCTCACCTGGGATACCCCAGATATCCCCGGTCAGGTCATGGAAATGAGGTAAGTCTGAAAAACCAATCCATATTTTGAGACAATCCCAAATATCAGGCCTTCTTGCTATTGTCCTATCTGATCTTCGACCTTTGCTCGCAGCGTATCGTCTCCTTTGTTGTTCTCCGTATTCATCTGACGTATATCAGATGCGCTGTCCCACAGAAACAGGTCAAAAACCAACAGACATGCCAAATCTTGATATGGGGATGGGTCAAAACCTTGTACCCCTGTAGTATTCTGTAGTTCACATCAAAAAAATAAATGTTCATCCCCCTTAAAATGTGATTTATAGGTATTGAATGGTATTAATCCATCCCCATATTTTTCCAGTGCTTCTCCATTCACTAGTCACCTAGCTGACCTAGCTGAGTCGGATCAGCAGAGTCGCTGCCGAAAATTCGTTTGTGGGAGCCAGCACCGTCGCCGCCGAAAACTTGGAACCAAATCGCTGCCCACCGGCAGCTGGGATGGTGTTTTGTCTATGGAATCGACATGGCGCATTTTTTCGCATTTTTTGGAGGCTAAGCCAAGGATACTGGATCTAATCGAATCCAGTAACCTCCTAATATTTACAAGACCTGCCAGCTTAAAGGCCCTGGTTTAGTACTGGATCTATTCATTTTGGGAGGATGTGGGCAACCAATCGGAGGATTCTTCCACTGGTCAGCCTTTCCCAAGAGAACACGTTTGGCATGTTTGAAACCAACAAGCTACCCTCTGGTAAGCTAACATAGCTATTGAAAATCACCATTTTTCATGGGAAAACTCACTATAAATGGTGATTTTCCATAGCTATGTTAGTTTACCAGAGGGTACTCATGACACTCATGTTCCGGAATGTATCTCTCAACTGTCCACTCCTGACTGGATAGCTGCGTTGTTCCTGGTTGCACTTGATAGTGGCTGGACCTTTATATCGGTCATTTTTACGCGCACCGAATCAGGAAACTACAAACTGCTGACTGGCTTTTCGAACTAGAATCAACTAAAAAGTTGGGATTCATCCAATTTCGTCACCAATCCCAAGTCATCACCATTTTTTCATGCTTTTTTTCTGGGTATTTGTTATATATTTATTCATCTTTTTTCATATTTTTTCATCTTTTTTCTGGTATATACCATCCCCATGGAAGTTGTGGCTTTTTTTGTGGCGGGTCCAAGAAAGCTATGGGAATCGCCAGGACATCACGCTTTCGAATCGCCTTCGCCGCCTGGCTCCGAAGGCACCTCCTGCAACAACGCGGAGACATGTCGGCGACTGGGTGAAAATCTGGGTGTGTTTTAAAAAATGGGTAGGCTATACAATAATTATGCATTATATATATATAACTATATAATATGTAAATATTTATAATTATAGATATAATTATAGATATATATAATCTTATACATAAGTGTATAAAATATAGTATCATATATGTAATTATATAATTACATTCTCTATATTATTTATTTAATTATATATATATCATATATCTGATTATCTGATTACATACTCCAAAAATCCTATGGTTTGTAGTCACTTTAACCTCCAAGCATTATGGACGTACCCAAGTGCGCGGCCCATAAAGCGACAATATTTGGGTCATGTTTAATATTAGCTATGTTAGCAAAACAATAATCAACCACCCATTTTTTTCAAGGGTTTATAATGGTTTATACCATTTTATAGCCATAAAAATGGTAAATTGTTGGGGATGGTGGATCCTCTTGCTTTACTAACATCATTTGTCTTCAAGGTTTTTTTCACTCTCCAGAAATACCCAGAATCACCTAGATGAGTTTCACTCCAAATTTCAAAAACTGCAAAACACAAGTGAACGAAGCCACACAACCACAAAGGCCAGGAGTTTGAAGCCATACGAAACTCTGATGGAATGTACTGGATCATACTGGATCTGTTCAGTTTTGGGCCAACAAAGTGGGGGCATTTGAGAAGGGAATAGGATTCACCGTGCCACTTTTATCACTTACCATCTGGTTATTTAACATAGCCATGGAAAACCCTTATAGATGGAGGTTTTAATGGGAAACTAGTCTATAAATGGGCCATTTTCCATGGCTATGTTAAATAACCAGAGGGTACCTAGTTTTCATATGTTTTGATTCTCATCTCAGGCCGAAACCTTTGATTTCACCACGGCAATCACAGGACTCACGCGATGCAGTCCTGATGCCGAAGATTCTGACGTGCCCTGGCGCTGCAATGGTTGCTATGGATCCAGCTATCATTCCTTGGAACCTCGAATTATTCAGATGGTCTCCGCAAAGATTGAACCAGTGAATTGACCTGCCACCGCGGTTTCGGTAGGGAGGACACACCATGTTGATGTTCGTTTTCCAAAGAGCAGGATACTCTTCATACAATGCCCCTGATTTCGTTGACCTACAAGTGCTTGAGCCAACAGGGTGGTCTTTTAGCGAAGCTGCTTAGTGGGTCAATATTCTCAACGCCAAAAATCATCAAGAATCATGGGTATAGCCCGTTTTTTGCGATCGTGGGTAGGTAATCCAACTATTGACAGCAGCCACGCGGATCCAACTATTGACCATGGCACTGTCCACCGAGGCAAAATCATGGCCCTTGAAATAGAGAAAAGCGGCCGAAAATGGGGTCAACCATTAAACGATCTGACATTGACTGCAACCATGGCATGGTTGTCAAAAGATTCGATGATTCTCTGCTCAAGATGGGGACACTCTGTACCTGTGTTCGTGGCCAAATCATATTTGAAACCACCAAGCAGTTTTGCTTGTTAGTCCCTTGTTTTTGCTACTCAAACCCATATTTCTGCTACGAGTACTGTACATAACTACCAATTTTTGATACTTAAGGCCACATTTGTGCTGGTTCTATTGTCCATAATTTGGCACTTTGGCAAGAAAACCCCAATTACTTCGGGCAAGATCACCATTTGGGTTTGTCTGAAAATGCGCATACAATACCCCAAATCCACTGGTTAATCGTACTAGGTCGTCCCTCGATGTCCCACGATGTCCCACGATGTCGGGCCTCTCCCAGGACAACTCGTCGTCCAGGAAAAGACCCAGAATCGCCTCGAAGGGAAGCGCCGGTGGAGGGTTTTTTGGTAGTGTGGTAGCCATGAAACATTGGCATCATTGACAATCCAACTGGATGTTTGATGGGATTTTAAAGGGTTTTATGGGATTTGGGGTGATCTTAATGGGATTATAATCGGATTTCACTGGATTTTGATTACATTGTCATTATGAAACATTGCCATCACTGATTCATGGTATTTAATGGGAATGAATGTCGGTTAATTTCAATGTCAACGGTAATCAACATCATCATCGACAATCCATTTGAACGCACCATATTTCCAGATGTCCAACGGTTCAGCATCTTTTCCCCACCTGTCAGATGAGGGTTGTTAGATTTTATGTCAGCCTGCCCGCCTCCTTACTCCTTCCTCCTCCTTACTCCGCCAGACCTCAACTGCAAGCTCTAGATTGCAGTGTTCCCCGCCGGGCCTCCACCGCAAGCTCCGGATCAGAGCGTTCCTCCACCGCAAGCTCCGGATCAGAGTGTTCCCCGCCAGACCTCAACTGGAGCTCCGGGTCAGAGTGTTCCCGCCAGACATCAACCACAAAGAATACCAGATAGAATGCCAGAACAGAATGTCAGAATAGATGCGAGATAGAATGCCAGAATAGAATGCCACATAGAATGCCAGATAGCATGCCAGAACGTATGCCAGAACATATGGCAAACAAAATACCAGATAGAATGCCAGAGAACATGTCAGTATAGATGCCACAAAGGATGCCAGATAGGATGTCAGAATAGATGCCAGATAGAATGCCAGAATAGAATGTCAGAATAGAATGTCAGATAGAATGCCAGATAGAATGCCAGAATAGAATGTCAGAAGATCATACCATCTATATTTCCAGATGATATGTCAGAAACTATGACAAATAAGTGTCAGGGTGGGGATCACTCGAAGTAAAGTAATTGGGGGGTGCTTTTTGTTAAAAATGATCACTTTTTGATGGTGAAATCACGAATCAAAACGTCCCGAAAGCTTCGCAGCTTCGCCATGCTTGCCTGTTCTCCTCCTGGCTTCAGCATGACGCGAAACCTGAGGCCATGGAGTTCTTTCCCAGAAACATCGCTGGTTAATGGTGGTGAATGATGGTTCATGATGGATTACAATGGGATAATGCTGGGATAATACTGGGTTCATAGCGGATTGAGTTGGTTGATCTCACCGAAAGAAAGTGGGTTGGTCTGCCATGCCCGGTCCCGGCTTTGGGCTTCCCCACTGCGGTGCACCTGGGATTCTAAGGGGATTCAAGGCGGATTTTCATGGGGATTTACTGTAACCATCAACATTATGGATTTAATGGGATTCAATGGGAATATCATGGGACAACCAGCCACAACTATATGGGTGTGTCTGAAAATGGGAATACCCATAAGATGTGTGTTTTCTTGAATAGGGAATATGATCATAAACCACCCAAATTTTGATGTTGTTCCTTAAAATATTCAGACAAACCCAGGGGAAAACAACCAACCATCTGGACTGATCACAGGGTTTCCCACAGATCGCTGTGTAAGTCTCGGGGATTCGAAGTCGAAGTCATTCGGGTTGCTTCTCCAACCACCATGGACCATTATGGATTCCTTATGTCATTTGGTTGGGATTTGTCGGGATATTCATCCCAAAGTATCCCACCGATTCATCAGATTCCCCCGTAAACTAGCCATAAATGCCAGCTAAACGACAACCCCCATCTACAAATCCCTGGTTTCATGGCTACCCCATTTCGCTCCCCGGGGCGAATTTCAGTGTCTCACGTTTTTTTCCTGGTAACCAAACTGATTTAAGATGGATTGTCTTTTTGGTCAGCAATCCAAAGATAGTGGCACACAGGTTTTGGTAAATTACTAACATCAGCATCTTTCGCATCTTTTGGGGGATAACATTATATTTCTGCTGTTTCAACATGTCGTAGGGTTACTTCTTCTTCGAAGATGGCAGGAACCAATGATAACCAATGTTTCACAATATAGTTAACATACACCAGTCACTCATAGTCACTCTACCCAGTTCTATTGCTTAGAATCCTAACGTGATATATTTGGTTTGCAGCTTTTGTGGCTTAGAATCGGTTCACGGAACCCTCTTAAGTCCTCATCCCAGCTGTCAGTTGTTTTTTTTGACATAACCTCCACCCTCTGGTAAACGTTTACATAGCCATGGAAAATCAGCATTGTTAATACGTAAATCAACTATAAATGGTTATCTTCAAAAGCAAACTGTAACAAATTTTGCGAAAGGTAAATCAAATATATATATATATATAATATATATATAATTAATATATATAATATATATATAATTAATATATATAATATATAATATATATATATATATATGTATACTATACCAATTATCCATGATTCATCCATAGCATTTGTTCTTTGTTTTCTATAGACTTCACCACGGAATTGTGGCCAATTTCCCAATGCGACACTGGAAACATCTCCGCCTTCGCCAGTGCCAGCGGCCTGAGGTGAAACAATGCTGAAGCAATGGCACTGGCCTTTAAAAAAAAAAAATGTAATAACAATGGTGTTAACTACCATCTGGTTATTTAACATAGCCATGGAAAATCATAATTTTTAATAGGTAAATCCAGGTAAACCATCTATAAATGGGCAATTTTCTATGGCTACGTTAAATAACCAGAGGGTATATGTTCATGATAAAAATAATGTTTAATTCATTCTTATATATTTAACCATAGTAAGAATGGTATGGTGTTTCTGGTGATGGTATCTAATTGAATCTAATAGAAAATGTATTGATAGTGGCTATATATATATATATATACATACATGTCATAGGTGTTAATCATTAGTTAGTGGTTATTGTTGCGTATTCCCTATTAGTTAATTATGCATTACTATATCAATGATTATAAATGAACTATTGACAATTGACTCAATAGCCCTTCAATATAACATCAATGGTACATAATCAAGGGACATTAATTATTACACATTGATGTGGTAAGCCCGATGGTAAGAACACCAATGATATATGAATATTTTGATCATGTGTTGCATTAGTTAAATATTAATTTCATTGTAATCCTCTATAATTTATTAATAAATGCTCCCCAAAATCATCACAAAAGGGTGGTATAAACAATCCCAAATGCCAGGTTTATGGCATGGGTACAATGAAATCGTACACCTCGACAGATTACAATGTTATATATTATATAGCTCATATGATACAAAGCAGATACAATTGTATTAGATTTCAAGCCATTAAAGTAGAGGCACAATGATATGACAGAAAATTGGGACATTGTGTTTTTTTGTGAGATATATCGCCAATATATGCCAAGATGATATCAGCTGGGGGTTGTATACTCCCATCAGAATTTTTGGTACCCTATTGACAAAACCATAGGAAACACAGCCCTTCCTTACCAAAAATGTATCGATCCGTATAGATCCAAGACATTCCAGGTTTTCATGGCTGGTTTCATAAGGGGAAGGGATTCGTAACCGACTGGAATGTACTGAAGATTCTTTTATAATCTAAAAACCGAGTAGACTTAGTAATGAAAGATTGTGAAGTGGTGGCCAAACAATTAGTTGAGGGGATCCAAGATTTTCGCATTTACAATCATCCTGAAGTAGATAGTATGCCATTTTCAGTCCATATTCTATCTACTCCAGGATGACTGTATTTTCTCATGGTTGTTGATGTCTTCGAATTGGTCATAGAATGATTCGTGTTTTGTGATGTTTTTTGCTAGTTTATCTGAAAAATGGAGCAGTGGTCAAAAGCCTACGTGGTGTTTTTAATGCTGTTTGCGAGCGTTGATTGTGATCAGCAACCAACGTCTTCTGCAAGAACAAGTGCTCTTATTGGAAGCCATTCCACCAAAAAAACAGAACAAAAAAAATAAAAAAATAATTTCCTATCAATTATGTTCTCCTTTTTTGAGACCTAAAACTGGGGTTCTAAGTCTATAATTCAAATCATGGTTCAGGCCTTTGGCTTACTAAATCTGGGGTTCCATGTCTACAATTCAACTCATGGTTTAGGCCATTGGCTTAATACATCTGGGGTTCTATGTCAATATTGAACACATGGTTAATACATCTGGGGGTCTATGTCTACAATTCAACTTTATATTTTACATTATTATTTATATTTTTTTCATATATTTTCAATTTTTTCATATGTTTTGTTATTTTTCCCTATGTTGGAACCTGGTGTGGTGAGCATACTTCTGGTGAGGGTGCTAGCCCTGACAAATGACAACGAATAGCTAGCATAAATCTATATAAATCGTTATAAATCCAATGAAATCACATCAAACCCACATCCAAAAACCACTGAATTTTGTAAAAACCATATAAACAATCACGAAATACATCTAGAATACATGTTGAAAATCACGAAAACCATCTAAAATCTATCTAAAAATCCCTTGGTTTCACCAAACCACGTAGAACTCACAGATCTCTGGGCTTCCCTACGGCGCGCTTCAACTCCAGACGCCGGAAGAGTCGCACCAAGGAGACGATCTGACCGTCGATGTTTGGGCGTTTCCCGACAGCGGTGTTTATAGATAAACATACCCTTGTGTTCATAGATAATGATAGCTATATCGGATATATGATGTATACATATATAATGATATGAGTTGATGGTGTATAGATATAATTGATATAATTGATATATGATGATTGTCTTTTGTATGGGTTTAATTTAAATTAAACGGTTTAATATATAATGATAAGTGTTCCCGAATAGACTTGAAAATTGCTCTCACATGCTTTCACCAAGCAGGCAACTGCAGCAGCACTAACCCTTTGCTATGCAATTGGCCTGTGCGGCTGGTTTTCTATTTGATGCCACATGCATCATCACACCTCCCAGAAAGGTGGCTCCATAGGTTACCTGAAGGAGAACTGGTTCCCTGGCATCCCCATTGATTTGCGCCGGCTGCAACGCACCTTGGGGGGATTGAAAAAGTGTCTGCTCTGCAAGGGTACGGACACTGCTGACCTGTCAATCACTCCGCTGTCGGTGATTGAGGTGGATGGCCAAGTTTGGCAACTAAGGTTCAGTGACTCAGGTCCCGCTTGGGTGCTGTCTGATCCCAAGGGGGACCTGAGTCACTGAACCTTAGTTGCCAAACTTGGCCATCCACCTCAATCACCGACAGCGGAGTGATTGACAGGTCAGCAGTGCCCGTACTCTTGCAAGAGGAGGCACTTTTTTTCAATCCCCCCCAAGGTGCGTTGCAGCCGGCGCAAATCAATGGGGATGCCAGGGAACCAGGTTCGTTCTCCTTGAGGTAACCCATGGAACCACCTTTCTTGGAGGTGTGCTTGACCTTCAGGAAGGCGTCGTACTCTTCGGACTGCTTGGATCTCCAGGATCCGGGCCACCAAAGACGCTGTCCAAGAGTTAGAGCCAAACTCGGTCAAAAGTGACTTCAGTTCACCATGGGTCACAGCCCTAGCGTAGCGGGCAGCAGATTCGGGAAGTGGTGGAATCAGGGGCCCTCAATCAAAAAGGTTCCCGCACTCTTGTCAGGGACCAAGCTGAGGGTACTGAGCATGTCCTGGGAACCAGACGATTTAGGCTTGACAAACCCCGGTGTTGAGCCCCAACCGTGACACCGTGTTTTGGAGTTCCTGCAGCTGAGCATGCAGGTCCTCCTTGGTCATATTCACATCAGTCTCGCCCAACATGGGGTCCATCGGCAGTGAGTCAGCTGGGTCAGCAGGCTGTGCCGAGTTTGACTTGGGCGTATCCAACACCCAAAAGTCGTCCCCCGTCGAAGAAGCGGCATCAACCAAAGAGAAAGTGTCCAAAGATCCTGTCTCACATTCCATAGGGCTTGGCGCGGAATCAGCAGAAAAGAGCGTTTTTTGAAACAATCACTTCGGTGGGGGGACTTGAGCCAAAATGGCATAGCCATTTTGGCAACTATATCGACAACACATTACTTGCTCCCCACAAGTTCCAAGCAAAGAAACAATTTATCATATCGATATATTAGTGAAATGCGGTAAACCCAAAACCATCACTCCCCTGATGCAGTTTCTATTCAGTTGTTCACTTCATCTTCACGTGACTCATTTCACTTCCTTTGCCCCGAAAAATGGTGGTTCCACATGGTTCGGCCACCCTCTATTTGTATTAACCGCTCACTTCTTGTTGGGTCTTTGTGTCTTTTGTTGTATCTTTTGCAGATCATAAGGATACAAACCTCAGATTCCAACTCTTTCAAAGGCTGGCGAAAAAGGACTACCAGATGATATGAAAAAATGGTGATCTGGTGATGATCTTTATCCCCCAGTCACGAAGGTGTTCTCCCAAGTTCTCCCAGATTCACCAGTCAATTGGTTGATATCTCTGTTCCCTTCAGGAGCTGAATGCGGTAACCAGTAACCCAAGTTATAATGATAATCCCAATGGTAAACAACCCCAATCAGCAACACTTGGAGCAAATCATCCCAGGGTCGCCGCCAGGGCCGCCAACTTGGGAATGGTTTGATCAACAGATATCAACAGTATCTCATATGTTACCTATTAATTATTTGGACTCTCCCATCATTTTCGCGTACCCACTTGATCTCCATGTGTCCATGAATCATTGGATTTACTCCCATCATCCCTTCACACCCACTGTCCATGGTGGATAAAACCAGGGATTTTTCTGGGCCTTTCAAATGGGGAAAGGAACCCCAAACGCCGCCTCCCCTCGCTGGCTGAAGTTCACCGCTTTCTCCCGCGCATTTGCGCGGAGCTGAAAACCCTCCTGGTGAAGCGTCGCGTCGACCCACGGTGGATTTGAGCAGGGAATGGTGGATGATAAATCCAATGGGATCCGGAAAATTTGGAGAAAACAACGAACAAGGGATATATGGATACGTTGTAGGCCTCATCGAGCAGGAGTATCATTAGCAAAAATGGGAAGTAAACAAACCACAAGCATCACTGAAAATTGAAGGGCGATAAAATAATGGTGTTGCCCATGAGACATGGGGCATACCGCCCAAAGTACCCCTTAAATTTGCGACGAAAAAAAATAGGAAAATCATTTTGAGGGTATCCGATGCCGAAAAAACTGCAGTTACAGAAACTGGTTGGTGGTATACCTACCCCTCTGAAACATATTAGTCAATGGGAAGGATTATCCCATATATTATGGAAAAAATGTTTGAAACCACCAACCAGCAGTAATAGTTGATTGCAAATTCTGATCCACATTGCCGGCCAAGCAGGTCGCAGCAGGAAAAACAGATCTTTATCATGCTTTATCTATGTACAGAACATCCATGAACGACCAGCTATTGCATCACATGAGCCATGAAACATACCCCTATCCCATTCCATCAAAAATACTGGTCAACTGCAGACAATAGAATGGATTAGTTCATCATCAAGCAAACCAAAGATCCAAATAGTACAACCCCCCGTGAATTATCAACTCATCAGCAGAACTATTTTGTCAGGTCTGCCAGGCCCGAATCTGAGTGATCCGCCTGCCGGCTTTCTGCCTGAGATACCGCTGGCCCGGTTTTTTTTTGTGAAGATCTGTTCCCAAAAACATTTTAACCATAGTTCAAAATATTGTTTTAACCATAGTTCAAACATTTTAATCATAGTTTAATGTGAGCAAACATAGTTCAAAATAGTTCATTCATCATGCTCACAAATGCTCTTTCTGTGTCAGAATGCCTATGGAATAGTGACATGTTCCCTGATCATTCACATCATTAATATCCATTTATAGCTTAAAATCAAACTATCAAAACCGACCCCTTTTCCACTCGATTGACCCAGTTGTCATTCCCGTTTTGTGGCGCTTTACCTCCCGCTTGATCGGTAGTTCCATTCAGAGTATCCCTGAATTGATCTGGATGAATTTCAGTAATTCAGAAGCTAAACTGGTTGGTGGTATACCTACCCCTCTGAAAAATATGAGTTCGTCAGTTGGGATGATGACATTCCCATATGTTATGGAAAAATAAAATTCATGTTCCAAACCACCAACCAGACAAGCTAAAATAAAGTTGTTTTCTGGTTGTCCGTATCAACACGCATCAACCATGATGCAAGTGCTGATTCACCCATGAAAAGATTGCTCCGTTGTGTTGGCTTCCTCTCATCCCCAGTATACTGGGTACCCTCTGGTAAACATACAAAAAGCTATTGAAAATTGCCATTTATGGTTGATTTACCTAGTAAAAATGGTGATTTCCCATATTTTTTGTAAACGTTTGCCGGAGGGTAGTATCACCCCCTATCAGCCAACCATGATGAATCACGATTGCCTCCCTTTTTTTCTTCACAACTAACACCCCAAAATCAGTGATGCTTAAAATCCAAGAAATAACAAGTCAACCAGGTTTTTCCCAACAGAGCGTTGTTTAATAAATGGTTGGTCATCTATTATGTTACGCATTGTCCCAAATCATAATCATTAACATTGGTTACATCCCCATATTTGTTGCTTAAATCAGGTCATAGAAATAGTCAGGCCGGTTTTTTCCAAAACTTACCCAACTAACATAGACCATGCCATCAGTTGGGGTCAGAAGATTACTTTCCATGAAAGTTGCGAAATGGTGGTTTCTTGAAATGGGGGATCCCCAGGTCACCATGGGTTTCAATACTAAGTCATTATCATCCATGACTTGGATGATGCAAGGTCGTACCCCTATGACTTAGGAAACCCTAGGATATCAACATTATATCACCAAATCATACCATTCTTATGTCACATTATACACCATTATATCCCCAATTATGATCATTGAAACTCTGTCACGCTGCGGAGATATGCAACATGCGTATGCACGCAACATGGGGATGTAATATGAATGGGGAAATATCCATCTATATAAATGGGATATAGATGGATATTTTCATGATATCTATGATATAAATTTCATGTGAAACTATATCCATCTATATATTATATCTGGTTGGTGGTTGAGCCCTACCCCTCTGACAAACATGACTTCGTCAGTTGGGATGATGACATTCCCAATATATCCCAGAGGATCCATGTATGCTATATATGGTAACATTTACCATCAATATACCCCAAATGTTAGCACATATACCATACATGGATCCTATGGGTATGGAAAAATAAAAAATGTTCCAGTCACCACCAACCAGATACCCTCTGGTAATTTAACATAGACCCTGAAAATAGCCTAGTTTTATAGAGGAAACTAATCTTCCAACCCCGATGACTGCCAGGGTCTATGTTAATTTACCAGATTATTCCATTCCCAACTGTTTCTGGAAAGTCATGAAATTCCATGGTTCCAGTCACCACCAACCAGATAATACCAGATATCCATCCATCATGTTTTCCCCCCGGATTTCCTGTGCCAAGCAACGACAAAGTCCTCGAAGAGCACTCCGCAGATGATTTGTCGCGTCCTCAACGGCACCGGCACGGCCGAGGCTCCGCTGGCCTGGCTGTGCCCAGCTGTGCCCCAAATCACATGGATTTTGGGTGATTTTTTCATGGGAGTTTCATGGAATTTAAGCCATAAAATCTCAAAAATCACCATTTTAATGGGATTTTCAGAGGATTTAACCAAGATCAATTGTGTTTTTTCAGATTTTAATGGATTAGCCTCTGATTATTTAACAGTTTGCGAACTGGACAATAACCCCCTTGATAGATGATTTTATTAATGATTTACCTATTAACATTTAATGATTTTTCAATATGTTTCATGGCTACATCAAATTACAAAAGGGTACATCGCTGTCAAAGGTAGACATTTGCAAATTAGATCTTTGGTCAACATTACATATCTTTAATGACATTTGCTTCTGGGATATGATGATATCATGCGGAATAAACGAACATATTATGGATTTGATGGGGATATGATCCACAAACTATGAGAAATTATACTGCAAGTGTTCAGCAGCATTTGGATAAAGCTCCAAATCGATCAACCAGGATTTTAAATTAATAAGGATGCACATGACGATCCGGCTTGGCGTGGCTTCTTGAAAGAATTGGTTCGGCGGAACTGAACAGTGTGACGTTAACCCAGGAATGATTAGAATATCAAAGGAATATCACCAACAATATGGTGATATCCATGGTATCTGTGTTGCCGTTTTTCAATGAAATACTGGCTGCTTGAGAACAGAAATCCCCGTGGATGATGATAATTCCCCAGATATTTTCGGGATAGTACCCCTACAATCATCAAGCAACAGAAGGGACGGCAGCTGCTCAATGATGTTGATTCAACAACCTTAAAATAAAATGATTTTGGGTTGTTCCCCATATGGCCCATATGTAAATCATCATTGATGGTGACGTCAGCCAATGACATCGATGTACTTCACCCAAATGAATCCCATTGACCAGCCGGTTTTAATCCCGAATCTGTTGGTTCAATCATCACATTGTTCCACATATGTCCTGCGCAAATTCCTCATTTTGGTCATGAAAACAGTAGTTCATGATAGCTAAATTCTCACTTGTGGTGCTCAAATCCCTAAAAACATCCATCATTTCCAGCAAAAATCATCATTTGAGCTGCTAAAATCCTCCATTCAAGTCCTTTGCTTCTCCCAGCTCAGCTTACCTTGGGCCGCAAACGCCGACCAGGCTGAGTTTTGGGGCCTGCACAGGCGAAAGTTTCGGAGTTTTGTGGAGTGTTTTCATGGCTTTTGGTCCATAAAACTCCCAACAAATCTTAACTAAATGTTCAATTAATCACCATTGTTCATAGCTAAACAATAATGGTTAATATATGGTTATATATATGGTTAATATATGGTTAATGATGATTTATAATATGATCTGGTTGGTGGTTTTTCGCCCTACCCCTCTGAAAAATGATGGAGTGAAAGTCAGTTGGGATGATGAAATTCCCAATATATGATAAGTCATAAAATTCCATGGTTCCAAACCACCAACCAGTTAAGATGAAATCGATTCAGAGTTCAATCTCCATGTTTTTGTTGCGGGTGAACCACAACCTGAGAGCGTCGCAGGGAAAGTCATCGGGGGCCACACATTTGCTTAGAACTGATAATCCAATCCCCCTAAGAGCGGCAAATTAACCAATTTACCAAATTTACCATTGCCCTTTTAGAGCATGAAACTCCTTAGCATCATGCCTTACACAGTGACGGCTTAGCTAAGTTTAAGTTCCCCCAATCTTGGCCGGTTTGGCATGTTATTCCCTATCAACCAACCGGGAAAAGAACACCTGAAGTTCCCGGGAATGAAAAAAATCCCCTGGCTGAAAGGCTGAAACTATAATAGTCATTCACCAAGCTGAAAATCGATGAATTTTCATGAAATCAATTGAATGTCTGGCAATTTGGGGATGATTCCATCCAATTCCCATCCAATTCCCATCCAATTCCCATCCAATGGCGGCCATCCAATGGTGGGTTATGAATGGTTATGATATTCCCACGGTATTCAGCTGAGATTTCCCACCGAAATTCCCAATGTCGGAGATGATATGCCCATGTCCAATGTCTCATGAACTCATCAGTCGACTGTTACCATCAACCATCAACCCATATCAACCCCATCAACCATCATTCATCTCGATATTCGGGTTCCCCATTGCATCCCATTACCCTCTGGTAATTTAACATAACTATGGACATTCACTATTTTCTAGATGGGAAAATCCACTATTTCTATGGCCATTTTCAATAGCTTTTTGTATGTTTACCAGAGGCTATACCACCACTGTTGGTAAAATCCCCAAGGCTTTCGGCTTAAACGACGCAAAGATTATCGGTCCGTTGGACTTCATCCCTGGGACCATGGCCTTTTTGTTTTGGGAATGAGATTTTCACGTGCTGAAAGTGGTAGTTTACCAATGCCTAAACTCACCATCAAAAAAAAAAACTCACCATTTCAAAAAAGAATGTCATCCAATACATCCAAAACTATCAAAACTATACATTTGGGGTATACATAAAAATCATAAACACATCCAACCCGGGGATGTTTTATGCTTGGATGGAAAAATCAACATCGCCTTGCGTCCCCCTGAGTCATCCCTCAAAAAGACCATCGGACGGTTCCGCCGCGACCGGGCTGTTTTAAGCACGCCGCAGAAGTCGACATGTTTGTACCGGGCCGGCGCCGTGGGAATCGCAATTGTTGCTATGACAGCTATGACAGCTATGATGATAAAAAGAGAAGAAAAGAGATACCTTTTTAGGCATTTCATGGCATTTTACGATGTTTGAGAAGTTCCAAACAAGACATCCCACTTCAACATGGCATGGTACAGAGACTTCTGAGAATCTTCTGAGATCTACTGTCTGCTTTTTGCAAACTTCTGGAAGATGCGTTGGGCTTCGGGCATAACATTTTCTCCAGCACATGCGATCACATTACTTACAGCGCATGTCACGCCACGCGGCCAGATGCAGCAGAAACAAAACCTAAAGTAGGGATTCAATTGGCAGGTAATAAGCAGTTTGGTGAATCATTCGTTCCTTATGTGTATAATATATATATATACACAGTGATTAACAAAGTTGTATTAATAATACATATTAGTACTAATATATTCCCATAATAGTACTTTAATAAAAAGAAAACGCATACTATAGTACTATTATGTATTATAAATACTAATATAGTCCTCATAATTTGCTCATTTCTCGCAACATGCCCCATGGAAATCTAGCAACTTGCAGGCAAAATCTCATATTTTTGGATGACATCTATGGTTAATCATGGGAAAAATCTATGGGAAATCTTGATTGAATTATGGTATGTATCATTGATCAATCATAGTTAATCTAATATTGAATTATGGGAAAATCACCAAGAGCAATGGATGAAGAATGGTTTTTCTTGGAATACTCTCCCGTCATTGAAGAGTTGAACACTTTGCGATGGAAAAAAAAGATGTGATTTTCCGAAGAGCTGTGAAATTACCGGAGATCCCTGGCTGAAAAAATGACGCTTGGGAGGGTTGTGGCATAGTGACTAGATAAAGCGCTACAATTTCCAAGCTTTCTCCCCTTGCTATAGAATTGACCATCTCCTTGGTGAGCCCGTTTTCAAACGGGCCTTGATAATTCATTTATCATTCATCGTCCCTCAGGCTCTTATATATAACAAGATACATTTTGATCATGGGGATGGGTCAAAACCAGAAGATCAAAAACCTCTAGTTCACATCAAAAGAGCTGGGATTTATGGGCGTTCATCATTGTTCATCCCCCTAAAAATAGCTATTTATGGAGGTATTGATCCATAGCCAGCCGGCCATTTCTATTCAGAGATGCCCAAAAAATCCTCCCACTCAGCGCCAAGCTAACTTTGCTCTTCAACCGGAGTCGATGCGCTGGATCCATCATGTTTTTCGGCCTATTTTATGGTCACAAAGTCAATTACCCGGCCTGGTAAACAGACAGTTTGCTATTGAAAATGGCCCAGTCGAAATAGTGGATTTTCCCATTAAGAATGGTGATGTTCCATAGTTATGTTAGCTTACCAGAGGGTAAGATGTTCCCAAACATGGAACCGGTGGAAACCGGTGGACGCGAGAATTCATCCTTCCAACACCCGAGCGCCAGCGCTCGTTGTAGGCGCGCGCGCCAGTGCGCCAGCGGACCGCTCGGCTAGGCGCGTCAGGGTTCCATGGTGGACGGATCCTTCTTACCTCGGCTGGTTCCGTTGGTTTTGCCGCTGCTTTCCCCAAGAAATGACCTTAAGTTTGGATGGTTTCTTTGGGGATCCTCCATTTTCTGAAGCCGCCATTGGAAGAATCGGAAGGTCATCTACTGCAAGATGTTCCAGTCAACTTAAATAAAAAAAGTCACCTCCAAGGACTCCCCTGCACAGATCCCCAAAACGTCACTAGATCTGTGCAAATTGTGGGAATTCGGAAATAATCCCAAACCCCATTGAAGGTCATTTTAGACCTTCCACTTAAGTAATGATAACCATAATAAACTATAAATAAACATGATTTCCCAACCATCCTCGAAGCCAATTTTAGGTGGAGTTTGGAGATGACAACCATCCCAAAGGTCCCAAATCCCGAAGCTTCGCTGAGATCATCGAGATCATCCAGGCGGCTCATTTTCAGGAGATCGCAGACTTTCGTCTCAAATTCGTCCAGGACCTTCTCAGCCTGGAGAGAGTCTCGGAGAGAGTCTCAAGCGGAACTCAAACGAGCTGGCGACACAAACCCCTGAACTTATACCCTCTGGTTATTTAACGTTTTCCATAGTGACTCATCCATTGATCATCTATATATATATAAATGAGGTTACTTTCCATAGCAAACTCTTGAATCACCAGAGGGTCCCAGTTGCACTGACCATGACATGGCTTGAGCGCCAAGGTTGAAGCGCACCAGGCACCATAGACACCACGGTCAGTGACTATGACGAACCCTGTAAGCCTCAAGCATGTTGAGTAATTTGCAGCAATGTGGTTAAAACAATAATAAACTATCCCCCCAGTCATCACCATTTTTATAGGTGGTATAAATAGACCATTCTCAGTCATGGGTGGTTTATTTTCCATTGTTTTAACCACATTATTCCAATTATTAACCATTATAACGGTATATTAACCAATATTAATCATTGTTCACCAGTATTAACCAATATTACCCAACATTAACCCGTAGTTTTACCCACATCAACACTTAAAACGTGCTGTCATAAACCATCTTCCTGGAGGTGACCTTTTGGGCCCGCCTGCCAGTTCTGCATGATCATCAAGATGGTGCGCATGACCTGCGCCGTCGAAGCAGAAAACTACCCGGGACCCGCTGAGATGGATTTCTCTGAAAATTACGGGGGAAACGCCATGGAAAACCGAAATAGAAATCCATGAAATCCACATCAAACCATCATTCTAGTGATAAATTCCCCATATTCCAAAGCCGAACACATTCCAGACCAAAAAGAATGAAAAATGTTGATGATTGCATTGACCGGGCCGGAGATGCAACTTGCGCAACTCTCTTTTTTCCCTTAATATGTGCCGGAAGTTCGCACATGATCCCCTTTGTAAAGCCGCAAGGGTTCAGCCAACTCAACTTGCAACAAGGTGAGTGATTGTTTGGGTAATGTATGGTAATGTAGTATATTTCTCTTTTGTGCTACCCTATGATAATTTCTCTCATTAAAATTTGTGGTCTACATACAAAACGATAAAGTAAACAGCCACATCCAAAACGGGACGTGAAGAGAGAAACTCACATCAGTGTTTCACCAACAAAAAAGTTGGCCAGTGCAAAACCGAAGAAATCCTGGGAGCGCCATGGATATACTGTGAGGAGTAAAACCAGTGAGCTTTCGGCCCAAAAAGTCGCCATGAATTCAAACATTTTCTCACATGCCATTCTTTAAAATGCGATTCCATCCTGGTATGCGTTTGCCTTCTCTTTTGGATATCGTGCAGGCCCTCACCAAAGCCCCAAGAATTTCCCACACATACTCGCTACGTTCACACACCGCACAGAGAAGCATAGATGAAGATGAAATTTGTGTTTTTTGTTTTTTTTTCGTTTTTTACCCTAGCGCATTGGAATGCGATGGTATGCGTTTTTTGAACCCTCTCAGGTGAAAACTCCACTTTCGCCATATTCCAAAGGATTCATATTCCAGAGTTTTTGA